CTAAAGTTGGGCCAATTAAGCAAGACTGAGTCAATTTAATAGCACCCATATAGAGAGAAAATACTGTTTAACCACATCATTTTCTTGTTTAGTTTAATTGGTACCATTTGCTGCTTTTTTTCGCAAGGTTTGGGAGCAGATTGCTTCCAGTCAGATTTCTTTGAATCTCCCAATGACCACTCAGAGCAATTCCTCTGCTCCACACTGCAGTTCCCTCTGGACAGTCTGGCAGACTGAACAAGCGGGCAGAAACTTCATGCACGTTAGGAGATCATTTGCCTATATAGACCGATTGTCTAAAGTCAACTATTCAAAGATCTAAATAGGCAACCTAAGGGCAGGTCCAACCTAGACACTTCCCTGCTACACCACTTAAGAGGAGTATTTGCGCTCTGAAGCTGGCAGAAGTTCTGGCACATGTTTATCAGCAAAAGGGCACTTTTGCTGGTATAACTTACCTAGCTCTGCCTCATTCATAAAATTAAAGTCATTTTTACTAGTATGAAAGAACAATTTATACAAGAAGAGTTTCTCAAAATATTTATACCACCTCTTGCTGGATTAAGAGCATTCATTGGGTCTATCAAAAATAATATAAAAGCTCAGCTTAAAGAATCTATGAAATGTAAGCTTTTTAAGTTGCAACTTTTTACTCTCACATTGTATCTGGCTTCTACACAGCAACATGAATAATTGAAGTCACAGTAATACAAAACAAAGCTCAAAATAATGCAGTACATAAATACTTACAGTCTAAGGAAAAAAAAAACAGAGAGAAAGATGGGACTAAATTTTTAATAGAAAAGCTGGGAGAAATTCCCCGTACTTCCCACTGCAGAGTCAGTGCTTGCATTTAGGGCTCACATATGCACACAAAGCCTTAAAAATACAGTACAAAAACATAATCAGATATTTATTTGAATTTACAGAGAATTCTAATGGCTTGACACTTTTTTTGCGGCAAAGGCTTGTGTTGATTTTCATTAAGCAGATCTTGCTGCATTACACTCCAAAAGACCTTACAACTTCTGATCATCAATCTTTAAGACGATCCAGCTCGAGCACAGGCCAGACAATATCTCTGAGGGGAAGGTCAGTAATTCACTTTCCCCAATTGTTTAAGGAAAGCCCAGGGCCTACACGGAGCAGCGCGTCCCCCCGCCCCCAAACGGTAGCCTGAATGCGGATCCAAGACACATATTTCTCACCAAGTCTTGCACCAACCCAAGATGATGACAATCTTTAAGACGATCCAGCTCGAGCACAGGCCAGACAATATCTCTGAGGGGAAGGTCAGTAATTCACTTTCCCCAATTGTTTAAGGAAAGCCCAGGGCCTACACGGAGCAGCGCGTCCCCCCGCCCCCAAACGGTAGCCTGAATGCGGATCCAAGACACATATTTCTCACCAAGTCTTGCACCAACCCAAGATGATGATTAGGGAGACAAAATAGGCACTAAAATGAAGAGAT